CTCTGGAGGAACCAGTACTGGTTTGCAGAGCTGTGCCGGCTGCTCTCGGCAGCCCCGTGCCCCATTCCCCTGAGACGGGACCTCCTCTTTTAGGCGAACGGAACGATATGGCACCCCCAGCCCGAGCTGTGGGCTCTGCACACGCTCAAGGTCTATGTAGCAGCCTCTCACGCTCCTATAGCTGGCCAATCGGTGGGCAGGAACAACTTGGTTGTTCATTTTCTGAAGGGGTCTAGAAGGCTCAACCTCGCCCCATCACTGTCCCTACATGGGATCTGCCCACGGTGTTGATGGCTCTGAAGAGCCCTCCTTTTGAGCCGCTACAGTCCATTGACCGTCGTCCCCTGACGCTTAAGACTGCTCTGCTTCTAGCATTAGCATCGGTAAAGCATATGGGAGATCTGCATGCGCTATCAGTGAACCCCACCTGCCTCGAATTCGGGCCCAACGACTCTAAGGTCGTCCTTAATCCAAGGCATGGTTATGTACCTAAAGTGCTCTCTACTCCATTTAAAGCACAGGTAATAACTCTATCTGCGCTTCCTCCTTCAGAGCAAGACCAAGAGTTGAACTTACTCTGTCCAGTCAGGGCACTGAAAATCTATGTTGAGCGTTCCCCCCCATTCAGGCGGTCGGATAAGCTGTTCGTATGCTTCGGTTGCCGCACCAAGGGTTGTCCGGTTACGAAGCAGAGACTTTCCAAATGGATAATCAACGCTATTATGCTAGCATACTCTTCTTTGGGCCTTCAATGCCCCATGGGAGTAAGATCCCACTCAACTAGAGGCGGTGCCTCTTCCTGGGCTTGGTCTAGCGGTGTGTCCATTGCAGAAATTTGTGCGGTGGCCGGCTGGGCCTCGCCGTCCACATTTGCCAGATTCTATAGTCTGGACATCCCGGCCTTACAGGCGCGGGTCCTTTCTGCATAGCAGGGCACTCTGTCATATGACAACCAGTGCTTGGCGTTTGCCTCCTTCATGTACACTCTTGGCCCTCAGTGAGTTCCGAAGCTGTACTGAATTATTTCGGGATGATGATACAAGACTGGGCCGACCTCTCTGAGTTTAGCCCTTCTGCCTTTTGCGGGGCTTCCCTGCAAAATACTTGGTCCCTCTGGGCCCCCTTGGGTGCGTAAGGCAAGTTCAAGTATTAGTCGTTCCTCTAGTATAGCACGGTGGGATTGTACTGGTTCCCCAAGCGTCTTAAACAGAAGCAGTACGAGTGAAGTATCGATAGGGAACGTACTCGGTTACTAACGTAACCTTGGCTCCCTGAGATACGCAACGAGTACTGCATACTTTGCCATGCTATGTAGCTGCACGACTCAGTCGTCGCTTCAGTCGAAGTAACCTGAGGATCCTATGGCGATGTCCCCGTTCAGGTGGTCGGATCAGCTATTCGTATGCTTCGGTGGCCGCACCAAGGGTTGTCCGGTTACGAAGCAGAGACTTCCCAAATGGATAATTGATGCTATTATGCTCCGCTGCTGAGCCATTGGTTCATTTTTTATTCACTGCACGAACCAATGGCCGTGCAGTTACACTGCGTTATTGAAAGGCTTCAGTCATCGGAGAAAAAGGAGTTTTCCCCAAGCATCTTAAACAGACGTAGTACTCGTTCTGTACCTCAGGGAACCGAGGTTACGTTAGTAACCGAGTACGTTCTCTCAAAATTGAAAATTGTCATCATTTACATGTCATTCCCAACATGTATGGCTTTCTTCTGTGAAACACAAAAGAGTATAGTTTGAAGGTTTTTTTTTTTTAAGTCAGTGGGGTATAAAACAACACTAGACCCCATTTGCTTTCCAAAATATCGTCTTTTGTGTTCAGCAGAAGAACATGAGTTAGGTTTGGAATGACATGAGGGTGAAAACTTTTAAGGTGTTGTTACAAGAGAGCAATACCGAGGCTGAATTATCTTATTAGTAATGTCTCCTTTCATTTCGGGGCCGGATGACACCACATCATCTGTAGTCCCTGAGACACCATACATGCTGATCATCTAGCAACTCTCTCATCAGTCCGTCACAGGAATGCATTCAGGTGTGCTTTCTATACCCAGAGTCCCCTGTCAACATGATGTTACACAACTTAGTGACTGCATCGGTGTGTGTGTCGTGTGTGTGCAGATGCTCTTCTCTCTATAATTACACTACATCCCCACAAGGAGAAACAACAGATGGTGAGAGAGAAACAGCCAGAGGAAGTGCCTGAGAGAGCCTGCACTCCTTCATTAACGGACAAAAAACCTTCCCTCTCTGTCTACTACACATAGTTCTTGGGGCTGGGGCATGAATTTCTAACTAAAGTCAGTTGTCAAACGTAAAGTCAACATAAAATGTATAAGCCCTTTTTTTCTTTAAAAAAGTACAGTTCTTCATCAAAATGTAAGAATTAAAAAAAAAATCCCTTTACTATTACTATGAAAATAAACACTTTTTTTTCCCCAGCTCACCTTATCAATCAAAATAAGGTATGAAACTGCAAATGGTCAAAGAGTGGAGGTTCTTAAGCTTGATTTTAGGAGGTCAAACAAAATATTTAAATATTTTCTTCACAAAAAATGTATAAAATACAATATACTACTACTACTACTACTAATACACCAGAGCAGGGATAATTAAGGCAAGTAAAAATCTTCCATATATGAATCTTTTGTTTATAAGGCCTAGTTAGTTTGGGACCAAATGCTAATTGATCTTCTTGTATTTCCCTTAATTGAAGAAAATTATTTGTTTGGTCATGTTCTTCCTGAATTTTTTCATCCTTGAATACCTCATTCACTCTGAAATGAATCATATTATGGAAGCAAAATATTAATTTCATGTTGACTTAAAAAAGTTATTTAATGCTTTGACAGCTGACCACCTATAAAATAAACTAAATGTTTTTCATATATTCTCCATCTCTATCTTGTCTCACACACTTACTCGTAAGTGCCTCTACACCTAAAATGCTGCTGCAGGTTGTCAGAGTTTATACCATTTTGTATATTACTTTCACATCAATCATCAAGCTGGAAAGGCTGCATTTTGCCAGTTTTTAAACTTCACTTTCCTTTTAAAGAACTTACTGACTTAAGTCGTAAGGTTGGACCACTCTGGGAAAAGTACCTAGGTATTGATATTTTATTGGGCTTGAACACTGGTGGGGTCTGTAGTGCTTTGGCTTCCTCTCACCTAACTCACCCAGTGACACCTGAAGTAACTTTGTCAACTAACTTCTCACACTTTAAACAAGGTACACAATGTGACTGAGTCTCATCCTCCCTTTGTGAGTGGCATAGTAGCATTGGCCCAGGTATTGACTGGTTTGTGTTCTGTGAGTTTGAGCTTGTGACAAATTGCCACACAATGTGTACAGACACTATTGGTTAACTGTATTTGCATCACTTATGTGATATCTAAAGCCTCAATTACATAAATGGAAATATTCTGCTTTTCAGATTGATTTACAGGGTGCACGGAAGTGCATATATGACACTTGAGGGACACTAAATACAATACAAAGCTACAGTACCAGAGTCCAAAATTAATACTCAAAAGTGTCAAATGCCTTTGCCGTGAAACATATAGGCCGGCTTGGTTTAAGAATGATGCCGATTTGTGAGCCATTCAATTTTAAATGTAAATAGTCTACTAATGAAAACTTTTGTCATAATTCAAATGTCCTCAGACTTTATATATATGTAAAGTTTATATATTACATAATTCATATATTAGATTATAAGTTTTTATATTTTTCTACAGAACTCCATGTGGCAATATTACATGTGTCCTATATTTTAATCCATTAAAATATGAGGAAATATGAGGGAAAAAATCCTCACCACAGTAGGTCTTCACATTCTTGTGACAGTTGTCATGTCACTGAGAGACACAGATTGGCTCATCCTGTATGTTGCTATGAGTGACATAATGACCTACGCTGTTCGGTCATTAGTGTGCTTGGAAAAGGTAGCCAAGTAATCCCATTTTCCAAAGACATACAGTATATATATATATATTCTTAAAGGATACATTTGCGATTTTCAATCAGCTTTGTACTGTTTCAATTTAATGGAGAAAATAAACTAGTTGCAGGTAACATGGTGACACATTTTGCGTTTACGTACACTACAGACATTGTAACAATATAAAACTGCTTGAAAATCTGTGAAGTTCTTTAATAAAAAAGTAATGAAAGTACAATTTCCTGGGCCTATAAGAAATATTTATTGCGGGTTGGTTTTCTCAACTGACTCACCAAGTGGGGCATTAAGTTAAATTTAGACCATGTACATTACTATGCAAAGTGCAGCATGCAGAGCTACAAACAACATTTGTTAGAACTAAGCAAGTTTCTACTGAGCAAGTGGTTTTTGGTGTTTACAGAAGATTAGAGATGTTTACAGACTGAGACATTTATGAAATATTATGCCATTTTCTAAACATACAACAGCTTCTGCTGTTTACATTATATGCAGACACATTTATTTACTTATATTTATTTGTTTATTTAAATCAAAGGTTAATATAATCATCACGTATGCTTTTTTATGGAGGAAATTCCTATCCAAAGCCTATCCAACCAGTGGCCTAATGCGGCCTGTTTGACATTTTCAGTGGCCCAAAGTTAAATAGCCTAAAATTATGTATTTAGATATATTAGATGTAACAAATTTTAGAACATGACAAGTACACGTCTCCAAAAATTCTTTCTTTATGACTTTTTTTTTCATGGACATTTTTATTTACGCACTTCTGTAATGCTGTAAGATGCCTGCCATACGTCCACTTGTTGTTGAAGTCAAATACACCTTTCCTTGTTTTTATAGTGAAGTTCAGTTTAAAGCCAAACATAAAAAACACCCACTGGAAACCCACAGTTCAGTCAGCTGAGGGGAATTAAATGCTCACTGCACCTGCATGAGACAAATGCGTCATGGGCGCCAGTTTACTCATGTGCTGAAAGATGTGCAGTTGTAATTGATGGTGTCTTCTCTCCCCCTTCCCCCAGAGAAAAAGAGTACGGTACTCTGAGCTGGACTTTGAGGTAAGACCCCATCCCCATCTGTCCTTAGACTGGTGTTTGTGCTTCTGTCCAACATTTTCTAGAGATTCTTCAATGGACTCATACAGGAGCCAATGATAGTTGCCACTCTGGTGCTTGTTTCCCCCATCATGCATTTAGTATTAGCAACAGTCCTATCCATGGCCGAACTGCTCAGTGTTTCACATACCTTGATTTCTTAGGGTTTTTTTTTGGCATTGTTTCAAAATAGGGTGACTACATATCACACTTTGAAATATATATGATAAAATTAAAATATACATGTGTGATGTTTAATATAAAGTATATATTAACTCAATAGAGTGTGTATGTACATATAGTTCTGCTCATATGTTTACATCCCCCTAGTGGAATATGAAATAAGTTAATAATTTTAACAAAATACAAGGGATCATAAAAATGGTGTTTTACATAACAGATGTTTACATATAATACACAAGACATAATAACTGATATTATATTTATACAAATTAATTTCAAACATTTACACCCTTACTACTGAGTTGTTACCTAGATGATCAACAGTTGAGTCACTGGTTTGTCCTAAACCAAGGGTGTCCAAACTCAGCTCTGGAGCGCCACTGTCCTGCAGAGTTTAGCTCAAACTTGCCTCAACACACCTGCCTGAAAGCCCTCCAAGACTGAGTTTGGGCACCCCTGTTCTAGTATGTCTAGTGAGACATTGATTAGCTGGTTCAGGAGTGTTTATTTGGGGTTGGAGCTAAACTCTGCAGGATAGTTGTTCTCCAGGAGCAGGATTGGACACCCCTGTCCTAAACAGTTAAACCACCCACTGTTCTGTTGAAAAATCCTCCTGGTTCTGCAAATTCTTTGGTTTTGTAGCATTTTCTGCATATTTGAACCCTTTCCAACAATGAATGTATGGGTTTGAGATCCATCTGTTCACACCAAGGACAGTTGATGGAGTAATACACAACTACTGTATTACAAAAGGTGAAAACATTCACTGATGCTCAAGAAGGCATCATACTGCATTAAGAGTTAGGGGTGTAAACTTTTGAACAGAATGATAATTTGTCAATCTTGTTTAAAATTACCTTATGATTAACATTTACATGGTGTTTCATGGACATCATTAGTTTGACAGTAGATTTAAAATGACTTTAAACAGTCTTGGCAGTTCATAGATGTGAAGTTGATGAATAATTATAATTTACAGCACTCCTGCAGTTCAAATACAGTTTAAATATTGCGTAGCGATAGCTATGCTCAGTGAATTCAGAAAACGTTCTGCATTTAGCATTTCACAAATTGGTCACCCAATTTCAATGACATCTTTGATATGTCATCACAAAGTGTGCTGTGTAATGACTCCATACAAGCAGGATGTGCTTCTGAATACGGAAGGATCAAGGCTGCAGAAACACTGAACCAGTGTAGAGCTCTGTAAGTGCTGAGTGAGTGGCATTATTGTGTATGAAAGAGAAAGATGGCATAATGAGACGAGTAGAGACTGCACGTGTATGACTGAGGCAGCCTGGAGGGCACCTCCATGGAATGATCAACTGGCAGGATCCAGCAAATCTCCAGTCTAAAACATGCCAATCCATTTTCTTCAGAACACACTTGTGTGCTTTTAAACCAGCTGTTCTTCAATTATGTTTGAAAGCTTAAGTTAAATTATGACTGGATATTTGCTCTCCAGTATGGAGGCTTCTTCTCAAACAGAGGTATGTCTTGTTACTAACGCATTCAGATGCTTTTAGAGATTCATAACCTTTTCCATCTCAGTCAGTGCTGCATGAGATGATCTCCCTCCTGCAAAATAAGCAAATTTGAGGTTGACAGTGGACTAAAATAATGTTTCATGATTGAGATAATCATTTTTGTTGCTACAAGGATCTATTTCGAAAAGTTAATTCGCTGAAACATATGTATAAATACATAATAATATGTAGTGCATTTAGTTTTAATGCATTAAATTCCTCTTCAAAACAAAAACAAAATAATATTTGACTAAAATGTGTATTGCTCTGGTGCGGAAAAAAAAAAAAAAGCAGGCAGTCAGTCTCCCAGCCTGGTTAAAATGATCTGTTTGCTGGTTTGGCGTTTGTGGCACTTGTTTGCTGGTCAGGCTGGATTTTTGTGTGTTTGTGTTCCGGCACTCATATTTCAGCAAGTTTTTGGAATTCACACAGCAGAATGAAGTTAAATGGGTGAATGTTCTAAATTAAATGCCATAAAATTTATAAGTTTTATAAATTTATATATTTAACTTTGGTAGCCCTAAAATAAATGAATTGTTATATAACCATTTATAGAAACCCAAATAAAACTCAAAATTCCATTATTTATCAGAAATCAACCCTAGTACATGGATGCTTACATTCGCAGGTTGGAGCTCCATGTCAGCTCTGCATGACCACCAGCTGTGACTACAAAACAGCCCAGCCATCTTCCAACCACCTCCAGTTAAGTCTGGGAATTGGTGGAAGTGTCTGTCAGTAAGAAATGACACTGACCAGAGAGCTTTAACATTGTTTAATACCTATCAGAACCAATCCGTTTACTACTCAATCAGAGCACCACCCTTCGAGAGGTTGAGTGTTCATAGTCATCCTAGTTTTGCGGTTTAACACCGGTAGCCGTTGACCCAGCTCCTCCCTGGCCTGCCCTTTCTTATTTTTGCTTTTGTTTCTTTTTGTTTTTTGTTTGTTTGTTTTCCCCCTTCCTTACAGAAAGTGATGCACACTCGCAAAAGACACTCAGAGCTCTACCATGAACTCAACCACTCCACCAAGTTCCACACCATAGACAGGTATAACAGGGACCCTGCCATGTCCTCCTTCAAGGTAAGACCCCTTTAACCTGCGACCCCACACTGATACCCATCCCTGATACGCTCAAATCGTACACCACCCTATAAGCTCCACTTTAAGTGAAATAATCTTGTCCCGTGTTTTCTAAAAGTCCTGCATAATTGCGTCACAACGTCGCTAATGTATTACCATGCTCACATGCTGCAGGAGTTTTAAAGCAATAGTAACTGGAGCACTAAATTGATTACTTGAATTACTAATAATAGTTACATAAATAATTTGTTACTGCAGAAAACGTATGTCAGTCTCCCAGCCTGGTTAAAATGATCTGTTTGCTGGTTTGGCGTTTGTGGCACTTGTTTGCTGGTCAGGCTGGATTTTTGTGTGTTTGTGTTCCGGCACTCATATTTCAGCAAGTTTTTGGAATTCACACAGCAGAATGAAGTTAAATGGGTGAATGTTCTAAATTAAATGCCATAAAATTTATAAGTTTTATAAATTTATATATTTAACTTTGGTAGCCCTAAAATAAATGAATTGTTATATAACCATTTATAGAAACCCAAATAAAACTCAAAATTCCATTATTTATCAGAAATCAACCCTAGTACATGGATGCTTACATTCGCAGGTTGGAGCTCCATGTCAGCTCTGCATGACCACCAGCTGTGACTACAAAACAGCCCAGCCATCTTCCAACCACCTCCAGTTAAGTCTGGGAATTGGTGGAAGTGTCTGTCAGTAAGAAATGACACTGACCAGAGAGCTTTAACATTGTTTAATACCTATCAGAACCAATCCGTTTACTACTCAATCAGAGCACCACCCTTCGAGAGGTTGAGTGTTCATAGTCATCCTAGTTTTGCGGTTTAACACCGGTAGCCGTTGACCCAGCTCCTCCCTGGCCTGCCCTTTCTTATTTTTGCTTTTGTTTCTTTTTGTTTTTTGTTTGTTTTTTCCCCTTCCTTACAGAAAGTGATGCACACTCGCAAAAGACACTCAGAGCTCTACCATGAACTCAACCACTCCACCAAGTTCCACACCATAGACAGGTATAACAGGGACCCTGCCATGTCCTCCTTCAAGGTAAGACCCCTTTAACCTGCGACCCCACACTGATACCCATCCCTGATACGCTCAAATCGTACACCACCCTATAAGCTCCACTTTAAGTGAAATAATCTTGTCCCGTGTTTTCTAAAAGTCCTGCATAATTGCGTCACAACGTCGCTAATGTATTACCATGCTCACATGCTGCAGGAGTTTTAAAGCAATAGTAACTGGAGCACTAAATTGATTACTTGAATTACTAATAATAGTTACATAAATAATTTGTTACTGCAGAAAACGTATTGTTTTAATGGTGTATTAATGAGTCTTTAACTCCTTTTAACTTTAGCTTTAAAATAGCTGTGATTAAAATTCATAAACGTTTTAATATTAAATATGATGCAAATGCATATGCTAGCTTATAAATGAAAAATAAATACATATTTTCTATCACAATTTATTCACTCTCATGTTGTTTTAAACCTGTATGACTTTTTCTGACTTTTAATATAAGGACAAAACATTTTTTGAAATATATTTTATGTTTCACAGAAGAAAGAAAAGCATGCATGCTTGGAATGACGTGAGGGTGAATAAATGATAACAGAATTTTCATTTTTGGGTGACATCTCTTTAAAAGTAAAAAAAAAAAAATGATGGGGAGTGAACAGTTTGTATTTTGGTACTTGGATTAAAAAAAAAAATTTGAAATCCACCTGGTGTTTGGAAAAACTCATCTTTATCAGTGCATGCATTGCTTCCCATTTCTCCAAGCCTTGTGTTTTGTAAGCTAATTAGTACAGTAGTAATAGTTGGATCATATTCAGTCTCCTTCCATTAAGCTTCTCAAAGTACACCTGCCTGCTCTCCTATCTGCTTTCCCTGGAAATAGCTGACTGTTCATCTTTGCATTAGCTAGACTGCTGAATCTTTAATGTTCTATTAGTGGAAGGAATATTGCAAACATCCATATGCCAGTGTCCAGAGGCTTTTGTCATTAAGATTTAAAAACAAATACCCTGCGGAAAATTACCTGCCCGCAATTTGTGACAAGTGTATACTTTGGTGGCCTTTGCCACATGCTCACTCACTTTTCATTTGGATCATGCTGTCTGCAGCCTCAATTACAGCCTATTTCAGCCCATTAGATCCTTGTGCTGCATTACTTTTCACCAGAGGTTTGCCCTGTGGTGGCCCTGGCCACCTGAGTGATTTGATTGGTCACCCCAAAATTCTAAACTGTGATTGGCCATCTCTTAAGTTATCAGTGAAGATGTATTATGTTTCTTGACAATGAGTCTGTACATGGGCCACCCCAGTCAAAAAGGTCTGGACACACCACTACTGGATAACTTCAGACAAGCATTAGAGGTTCATGTTCTTATATTACAGATAATCAATCTCTTTCTAATTGCTTTTCAAATGCTGACAGTATTGATGAGTCATTATGCTTTTAGCATTTGTCTTTCAAATCCCAGCGGGACAGCAACTGTAGAATAATTATTTTGATTTCATTCCACAGGTTTGATTATATTGACAATGCTATAATTACAGCGATAATGGGCAGGAGAGTTTGAAAAAAAAATGAAATTTCACATTCATAATTATTATAATAACCCAGTAGCTAAGACAATCAATTATTTGGATTTCTTCTTTAGGTCAGGACTGGTGTGAGAGTGATTTTCCACTGAATGTGATCACATAAAGATGTGGTTTTCAAATATGTATCAACATAACTATAATCTAAAAGACAAGTGCACTTTACACAGTTACCTTTCACAGGTGCACTTTTACAGTTTGTTTGGATCCTACATTACTTTCTCTAAAGACCAGTCTACCTCATAAAACCACATCTACCTCAGAAAGTATCACGTTATAACAGCAAATCTGTGCTAAAAGTGCCATGCCAGTGGTCATTAAACCCTTCTAACAATCCGGCCGACTTCACAGGTTCCTCCTCCACCTCCACCACGACAATCTGAGCCTTTAACACGGAAAATGAGCTACGTTTACAAAGAGAGCCAATGTAAGCATGTCAACCAAACCCTGTATTCCCAGCCCCGTGTGGTAGGGCCCTGATTTATAGAGGCTCTCATTGGTGCAGTGTAAACCCTCACCTGTAGAGTTAAGTGGTGTAGAGGACTAAATGTTGGGTGTTTGTTCACGTTAGGTTGATTTTTTGTTTCCGTTAACTCAGCGTGGAATAATCCATTCAGTGTTGTGATGTACTGTTGTAAATCTCACAGCCTTGTGCTGTCATTGTGCTTGTGCTGGTGCTATTTTAAACTCTTTAATTTTTTTTTTAAACCAAACTGTACATATAAATTCTTATAAACCACAAAAACTTTCAATTTATTAAAATTAGTTTTAAAACATCATAAACACATAAAACGTAATGTGGCCACAAATCCGCATTAAAGTGAGAACAACCTGTTTGGTATACGGTAAGTAAGCACATACTGTTCTAGAAAGGTAATACTTATGATATTAGAAATTAATTTGGTCAGAAACGTGTGTGGGCTGTTAAAGAGATGAGTGCACATTTGGGAAAAATCTAAGCCATTTTTCGCCTCCTGACTTATTGTAGACTTTCCTTTTATCCCATTGGATCATTCTAACAGCTGGTGAGGAAAGTGAGCTTAGTGGGGTCTCTTAACACATCCAAATGGCCCCTTCCAGACACTGTCCATTTCTTCTAATCGTCTTTCTCTCTCTATTTCCCTCCTACATGCACTGACTTCAATCTTTCGTTCGTACAAGGGTTCGCTTCATCTTGTTCTTTTTTTTCACTTGCAGTCCGTTAAATTGCTTGTGTTAGTGCGAATGGAGCTTGATGCAGTTTGAAGGGCAGTTAACCTCTAAGTGAAGATGCTGGCTGGGCTGATAGCTGTAGCGGAGGCACCCCATATGGTCCCAAATGGATGAAGGACTAGTACCCTGTGTTCAATCTATTCATGCTAATGGGGATCCTACAAATGAACACAGCGGGGAACTTGAGAGCAGAGGAAGGCAACAGTCTGGCTCTTGAAATATGTATTAGCTGAAAACTTCTGCTCTTACACCCACTGAGTGTTTTATGAAAGAGTAAACATCATAAATACATGCACGGAGTTAACAATAATGTAAGATTTGAACAATCCCCTAAACTTAACTTAGGCACGTAACCGGCATAATGTATTCTATGGACATGACTGATGCTTTAAATCATGTAGTTGTTACATTTCTATGCATTTTTCTTATAAAGGACAATGCAGCTGGTTAAAAGAAATGTTGAGGGTAAAATTTGTGATTTATTATTTTTTAAATAAAAAGCATAAATTGCCATATAAATTACAATTGAATTCTATATAATACTCATCAAGGAAATGCATGAACTTTTACAGTAAATTATTAAAATAAAAAATAAAATTGTTTTTGTAAATAAAAACATGAGCCACAATTTAAATATTGTATGGAAAAAGTTGTTTTTCCCCTTAATCTTTTGTAATGAGTTCTGTACATTAGGGATTTTTTTTCCCCTCAAATAATTCAACCACAGTTTTTTAAACAGAAATAAATGTATAGAGCAGAGACCAGAATATCCTAAAGTCTTCTGGTCAAATACATTATGGCTAACTCATCTGAAATCTGGAAAACATTGCTGGCTTTTTTTTTTTTATAAAAATATATTTGCAGCTAAAATATTTATCCTACTTAAGTCAAGTCACCTACTTAAAATATGTCTAGGTGTTAAAGACCTTCATCTGCAATTAGAAAGTTCAATCTGGCATTGTTACATTTTGTGAGCCCTATCAAATAGTACTATTCAAACTGCTTTCTAGTACAAATGGCTTATTAAAACTTTCAAAACCCTATAGCACTGATAATATATAGTATCAGTAGTACAGTGGTTTCATGAATCTAATATTGTAATTGTCGTGCTTTAAAGGTTATGCTCTGAACGTTTATCAATACTCTTGCAATGTGTGTGTGTGTGTGTGTGATTATAAGTACACATTAGTGCGCATCTGTGAGTGTTTAGCTATTCTTAGCATGTTTGGTTATGCCTCACTGAAACTGTTTCCCTGCAGGTGAGTTGAATTATTGGTATCTGAGCCCAACTGTGAAGTTCAGGTGTTTGAGGCAATTTGCTACTTTGAGGACGAGTAGCATATGTATGTTTTCACCCATGTCGATTTTCTCTCATAATAGTTTCCTCATTTACTAGAGCTTCATCCCTCTCGGGTATTAAATGAATAACTGATTTTTTGCCATCTTATATTTGCCTTTTGTCCACACAGAATTAGCTCTGAAATGATATTTTCTTTACGGAGTATTGTGTTGACTGAACTTGAAGCAGATGCACCATCAAATAGCTTAATGAAGGGGCTTAAAGCTGGGATGGGACTCTTACACACTCATACACACACATCCAAATGCTAATTTGCAGTCTGTGCCAATTAAGACGTAATTAGTGAGATATGTCATGTCTGCAGATTTCGCCATGTAGGACTGTGTTCCTGCTGTATTGTAGCTCAGCTCATATCTGGATCATGGTATAGAAGGGATAATATTAATTTCTGTGACAGTTTTGTGTCTATTTTGCCCTTTTGTAGTTTTTTTTTCTAACATTGAACTGAGTAGAATAGATTACAGACTATTAGCAGAGCTGACATAATGCAGTATAACTCAGCAATGGCTGTCATGGCAGAGAGACCAGATAAGGCTTTTAGCGCATTATCCTTTATACATAATGTATGACTTTATAATGGAGGGAACTCAGAGATCATGTATGCAATGAAGGTGACCGTATACATCAACATTTATTGTGGTTATCTGATTATATTTAATACAGTATAGAAGTTAGGATACATATACCACTGAAACAAACAGCCTAATCTGTACATTATCCCATAATTCTGGCCTTTTATTCTGGTTTGGAGACCCCAAAGCTCACTGATATCTCTTTTGTCCTGTAATGTATAAATCTACAGGGGAGAATTCATTAAGATTGCATCATTTATTTGCACAATGCTGCTATTGTTGTTTCAGCAAATGTACACTAAAGAAATTATGCTAATTACATTTAACATTTAATGCAAACATGCCTAAAAAATGTGGTGTTCAACACAATTTGCATGACACTATTGTGTCTTTTGAAAGGTTTTCAGTGTCATATTGTGCATATTTTACCTGGACTATATAGTTGTATCACTCCAATCCAGACACCTCAATTGGCTTTAGTGTTTAGGCGTTAGAATGCTAAAATTATATAAATAGCAAGTTATAATGCTCTTCTCCAGTATTTAAATTTTAATTAATTACTGCTACCAAATTGGCAAAACTAAGATTATTTAGTGAATTCATCTCTGACAAAGGCCTTGTCATTCTATCCTGCTTCTTGTTCTGTGTTTCATACCCACATTGTTTTACTTGATCCACTATTTTTTTTCTTTCTTTATATATTGCTTATTATTTTCTGTATTGATGCATTTTTTTTGTCATAATGCACTGCTACCTGTCTTTGTCTTTCCTTGGTTTGAAACTACATGTTTTTTGTCATAGTTTGACTGTAGCCAGACAGTCAGCAGACCCAAGGGCGACAAACAGAAAAAAGGTAACAGAAAAAAAAATCTCATCCAGAGAGCAGCGTGTGTGTGAGCCATAGAGTCATAGAGTGTTTTTTTTGTCCTTTCCACCCTATAGTCTCCATAGAAACTTCTAGGCCAGTACAGAACTCCCACAGCAACAAAACTTGCTCTCCCCCACTGCCCTGCTGCTGTAGACACTGCTCCTTTCACATCTTTCCTTTGCTTCATTGTGCAACAACCGACTTCTTCTCTGACCTGTGCTTTCTCATTTGTGTGGTGGACACAGACTGTAGGTTGTGGTCACTGCTGTGTTGCTGTACCTTCCTTTCTGTCAGCTCACACGTATTACTAGTTCTCGAATCCCCAAAGTGTCTTTGTGTAGAAGGGGAGAAACAGTTGTTAACTCTGTAAAAACGTAAATTGGTGAATCTTTCTTGGGTAAAAAAAAAAAAAAACAGACTTTGGTGGGCAAAAAGATTGAAAAATGCTAGATGGAATTGATGACTAAATGTTATGAAGGAAGAGATGAGGAAAATCAAAGTAGTGATTCAAATAATACTATCATTTTCATATACCTCATCAATGGTCTAGGGCAGGGGTGCCCAACCCTGCTCCTGGCGATCGACTGTCCTGCAAAGTTCAGCTCCCACCCTAATCAAACACACCTGAAGCAACTAATTAAGGTCTTCAGGATCACTTAAAAATTAAAGGCAGGTGTGTTTGATTAGAGTTGGAGCTAAACTTTGCAGGACAGTCGATCGCCAGGAGCAGGGTTGGGCACC